TTTTTTTTTTTTTTTTTAACTTCAAACACAGTTGTACTCTCAGTGCATAAGTACATTTCAGTTCTTTTTCTCCAGTGGCAGTGAGATGATGTAGGCACTTGAGCAATCACAGATTCATGGCCTTCATTTTCAGTATTTTGTCTCTTTGCTCATAAAGATGTTATCACAGTTAGATGCAGACAGTACTTGCAGTGGCATTTTAAATAAATTTACAGTGGAGTTAATCATTGCTTTGAACCTTTTTTAAGGTTATTTTAGCTCAGACAGTAGAGGGAGCCCCTTCCCAGCACATGTATTTCCCTCTGACCAGGTCCTCTATGTGCAACTCCGGTATCCCAGTGATGCTCTTGGTCCTGTTGTTTGCACTGACAGTGAACTTGATATAATGAATTACCTCTTTTTATATTGGATTTACATCATTTTAGCAGCAGGAGCTTGAAGACCTTGTGGGGGCCATGGAGCATCATGAGAAGTAGAGGGAAATTGGGAAAAGTGAGGGGGAAAGACTACAAGCCTGCAAGTTTGCCCCAGCCTTGTCTGTGCTACAGGAAGGGTGCCTGCAGCTTAGGGAAGTCTTGTCTGATTGAAGTATTCCTTCTCACATTCTGAGTATGCAGTTAGTTTTCTCTATTTATTTTCCTGAGTAAAACAAGAAGAGATTGCTGAGGTGATGCTGAGGTTTTCCTTATCTTGCTTTAGCTTCTTGGTGAGAAGTCTTGTCAGACAGCTGAACCAAAGGCTGAGTGGGACACTGTGCTGCTGACTAGGGATGAGCAGGATGTTCCAGTATTTAAAGGGTGGCTACAAAGATGATGGATACTCCCATTTTACAAAGGGTGACATGGAAAAGATGAGGGATAATGGGTAGAAGTTACTCCTGGGGAGATTCCAAGTGGACCTGAGGAAAATTTTTCACAAAGTGAACAATCAGCTGTTGGAATAATCTCCCCAGGGAAGTGATGGGTTCCCTAACGTTGGACACTTAGATTTGGTTGGATGGGTGCTGGGCCATCTTGTCTAGACTGGGCTTTTGCCAGGAAAGGTTGGACTAGATGATCCTGAAGTCCCTTTCAGCCTGATATTCTGTGATTCTGTGACCTCTTTTATCAAGTCACGACGTGCTTTCTTGCAGGTGGATCACACAATAATAATGTACCTCCTGGGGCCAGATGGTGACTTTGTGGACTATTATGGCCAGAATAAGAGGAGCGCTGAGATTTCTGCTTCTATTGCTGCACACATGAGAAAATACAGATCCTAAAACACAAATTCTTCAAAGATTGATGTGAACATCACCTGCAGGTTTGGCTGTAATTGGGCATTGGGTTAAAGCAGAAGCATAAAGTGTAACATCCTGTCACCACATGCTTCCTTTCTTCCAGATAAGAAAGGCAACCATACTTCTGCAAAATACCATTATCAAGAATCTCTGTAGAGCCTTCCTGATGGATATTATGTGCAGCAATGGCTAGCCTACAGAATGAAATTTGGGACTTCTCAGAAATATTGTTGGGAGCAAAAAAACGCTTTTCATTTGAGAAGAACATGTGTATCACTGGTAAAATTAATTGGTATCTTTTGGCAAGACATCAGCGAAGGACAGTCACTGCAGGAGGATGATTACTTGATGAAAAGTCATATGGACCATGGCATTCTCAGAGGACCTCTGCTGCCTTTTTTTTTTTCTGCACTGTTTTGCCTTCTGGGAGAGGCAGTTACAATATTATAAGCAGGAGAGCCTTAAGAGGACTTCTTTATCAAGTCTAAGAAGGTGGAGAGCACTGAAAGTGTCAACAGCTTCCACACATAGGACCAGCCCTGTAGTGTGCCTGATCTCTTCCTCATTTGAATACGGAAATGAAATGTTGTTTTTCTTGGTGATTTTTCCAGGTGAATTCTGTTAACTTATAAGGAAGTGAATAATGGATTGCAGATAAGATTTTTCTTCTGGTCTAAATTTCATGCCTGGTTGGGCCTGGTTGTGCTATGGTGAGTAGTGAAGTGGAGTGGATAAAGGGGGCCTGTGGCCATGCATAGGGCTGTCGGATAAATTCTATGCAGTGCAGCATTTGAAAACAGATTGCTTTGTATAAGCAATATATATTTTTCTTTTTCCTTAGTTAGGTTTGACCAGTATATCATCAGAACTTTGTATACTGGTCAAGCTTCATATTCCTGCTCTATCTCTTTCTAAAAAGCAGTGTGTATCTGGAGTAGTGCAAACCACAAGCTGAATGTGCATTTTTAAGGTAGCTGAACCCCAGAGAATGGCCCACAGGAGACAAAACAGAAAAGTTCTTGGTGCAAGTCCCGGAGTGTTTCAGACTAAATGCAAGTGTTCCTGTCCTGGTGTTCTTCTGAGCGTGGGGGTTGGAAGAGAATGTTCCTGTCTGAGGGAAGGTGCAATGTCTATGGTAAACTTCCTTATTTCTCAAATCCTGAAAAAGAGTAAACTTAACCTGCTTCAGAGCAGTTACGATAAAGTAGTGCGTAGGTCCACATCAGCTGTCCTACACTGCTACGGTGACCTCCGGGGCACATCAGGAAGGTTACTGTGAGTATGTCTAAGACTGCACTCTTCTGATAAAGCTCTTTGAAGGAAGACAGTACCAGTTTACAGTGGGAATTCTAAAAAGTGTCTTAGTAGAATTAAGAGCTGAAAAGGAAGTCAGGTGGTTTTTTTTTTTTTTCCTTGTTGTGCTGGCTGGCTTGATTGCAGTAGGCAGGAGTGGCTTTGAAAGGAAATTTCATGCTTTAAGTCCTCTCTTCGAGGCTGTGTCAAATCCAAGGTGTTATCAATAATATTGGTGTCTGTGATAACTGGCACCCTGGCAATAACGGTTTTATTTTCATGGAGTGGTTGCAAGTGTCAGCACTGTTTCTAAAGAGCCTTTCCTTTCTTTTTATTCTTCCCCAAAATCCTGGAGGTAATTTATTTCTTTAGAGAGCTGACTTTTGGCACCTATTAGTTCTGCATCTCTTTGGGTGGCAGTGCACCAGTTTTTTGCAACAAGACAGGCCATGGCTTGACCTGCCGGTGATAGTCCTGTTGGAAGCTGGACTGGAAACCTTTGGAGCCCCCTCTGCAACCAACATTTCAGTGTTTCTATGAAACTTATCTTGCCAAGACTCTCTGAGACTCCCTGCTCCAGATCAGTGTGTGTGCCCTTTTCTCATCATGACCTTTACAGGTATCCTGGTTTTGGCTGGGATGGAGTTAATTTTCTTGAGCTGGGAGGGGGCAGCACAGCCAGAGTGCTGGGCTCAGGTTGGCTGTTGGAGTAGTCCATCTCTCCTGTGACATTATTCTTGGGATCAGAAGGAGACGTGTTCTGGTAGGGGTGGGGGAGGGGGGGGGGGGTATTG